TGTAACAAAATATCGAACGTCAAGTGCCGTTTTACGTGTGTATGCATAAAGGAGAAATATTAAAAATTTGCCTAATTATCCATTTTGTGATTAATTTTGAATTGAATATTGACGAAAGCATTTACCACTTAACCGGCTGTAATTAATGGCTTAAATAACGCTTTTAACGCTGCTACGATGCTATATCTTTCGATTGTCAGAGAATTTGACGTGAATCGTTTGTTTAATTAATGAGAGACAACGCGAACGTATATATTGTAGCATGCTTGTTCTGGTATATCGATATGCAAGATATATCTTGAGTTTATGGGGTTATTAAGGACTTCATCCGTGTCTCATGGTAGGATTACTACGTTATTATCCTTCGGTAAGTGGCAGGCGGGCAGGTTGGTCGGCTGGCTGGCTGGCTGGTAGGTCTCGGCCCCTTGTAAGGAAGACCAAACATCGTCTCCTCCTTACACAGTCCCTCGAGCTACCAGCGAAACTAGTAAGACATTTCGCCCCCCTCCAATTCATCCCGTGGATTGGGACCCAGTTGTGAATTTGACCCTCGTAATTAATTTATAACCGTCGTTTCTTGTTGCAAAGCCAGTTGAGTAAGCAGGGAGTAACTGACCTCGCGCGGAAACGCCGACTCCAACTCCGTTTACGCCAATTACGCTTACAGCTCGCCTGATACGAATAATAATTTCGCAAACATCTGATCTTATTAATATTACAGCTTTATTGATTGATTTATCGTTTTTAAATATACACGATATCAATTATTTACTTACAAAACATGTGTCCAATTTGATTCGCGAACGCGGCACGGATGCAAAATTATTTAACGTACATCATAGGGCTACTCAAAATTTATAATATTGGCTATAAATAATTTTCAAATCTGCAAAATATACATATACGTCGGTCTTGGTCTTATATGAATCACGTCGTGTAGCACGATATAGAGTGCTTTTCATTTAGTGACACAAGTATCATATTGTCCTTGTTAATTATTGGAAAGCCAAGAAAGATAGAAACGACTTGTATACTAAATGGAAAGCATCCATATGTAACCAAATATGCGCGATAATTTCCCATAACTTTTTCGCTCAACGATAGGGTTAATATGGAAAATTCGCGGGATGACAGGCGTTACGAATTTCGCGGCATCTTTCATATACTCATACCGAGCCCTCTCACCGGATTCCTCTAATGCCTCCGCTTCCGCCCGATGCACACGTACCCCGTACTTATTACCCAGCCTAATACAAATTCGACATAGAAGCGAGAGTTGTTAGAAGGCGCTCGGCGGTGCGCGGCGGGACGTAGGAATCCATAGATCGCGGGGCTAACAATCAGCCGTAAATTATGGTCTCAATATCCATTGTGTACCCTACTTGCTCTCAAGCGGGCCTAACCCCAAAGTCTGAGGCCAAGACTACCCACTCCACCGGCGTGGCTCAGAGAGACGGTCGGCTCTCTCACGGCCCGGCTGAACCGAGAGATATGTATATTAATGGGGCAATCTTACATAGTTTTGTTTACCTTGCCATTCTCCCAGTACGTATACAATTACTATCCCCGATCCCTATGGTGCGCTGGCACGAGAGCCGCCTCCGTTACAACCCCCTTCGGATTGCGCCGGCCCTCCGATCTAACTAGTTTCCGCCGACGTCACTATCGCGCTCGGCTGCCGTCCTGTTTCTTTTCTGGAGCAAACGAACTTTATGGAGAATTTCCATCACTATTTGCAAAAGATTAGACAGGGCCAAAAATATTAAGCTTTTAAAATTTCATTTTGAAAATGTTGGTACGTGCATTCGATATTTATAAGTGCGATATGTTTTTGCGTTGCAAATTTTTTAATATAAAAGTATAATAAGTTATATTAATGTTTTATTATTATTTATAATAACGTTATTGATATAATATGTATGTATTTATGTATATATATGTAATTATGATTATATTTTATTTTTGACACAATATCTCTCAATTGATTTCCATTAATTATTATAAATTTATATTTGTATTGTTATAAATTTTCCATAGTTAATTGCGAATGGAATAAGATATTGCTGGAAAAATAATAATCGTTGACAAGTAAGATTTGGCAAAATTATAGTAACAAGAATAAATATGGATATTCTCTTTTAAAATTATTTATGATAATAAATTTTTGATAAGTATTTTTTGATTAAATATTCTTAAAAATTAAATTATATAAACTCCTTACTGTTAGTTTTAAAATTATGTTTTATTCAATTTTAATATTATAGTTGAATAAGTTAAAATTATATATATATATATATATATATATATATATATATATTAAATTGATTGATATATGTAAATTATATATTTCATTAAATAATAAATTATATATGCTAAAAGGGAAAGGAAAAGCACATTTAATATATTAATAATTTATGTGAATCAATATTATTAATCAATAAAATATGTCAGACGGGAATGAGCCTCTGAGATATTTAAAATCGACGCAACTGATTCGCATCTCGGTTTCGTAGTGATTTAGCGACGCGCGTTAACGCGTCCGCAATACGTTCAGGTCCGCTGACGGCGACGATCGAGGTCGAAGGATGCTATTTTTAAAAACTACACCGGTCGTTGCGACGATATTCCGATGCGAGAGAGCGCGTATCCGATAAAAACGAATTCCGTTCTTGAAGGGCTCAAACGCCGCGCCGATGAAAATCCATTCTACGGCGCGCCGGCTTTCAGCAAAGAAAATATTGTCCGCGGCGCAGGGGCCGGGGCCGGGGCCGGGGCCGGGGCGATCGCGGCAGAGCGGCACTTTTCACCTTCGCTCTTCCACCCCGGTTTTTAATTCCGTGCGTGGCACACGGCGCGCGCGGACCGGCTTTGTAGCGGAATGTACATTTCTCCCGCTGAACAACCTCATTTGTGTAATCCCCGAAGCTTCGACAACAAACTGTCTGCGGCATCGGAATGGGCGCTGGGGGTGCACGGGGGTGTGAGCACGACATTAACGTACTTTGTAGTTCAGCTCTCTGCGGCAGTCGTCCTTCTACGCCCCCCTCTCCCATTCCGTCCGCGCTCCACTCCGCGTCCCTTTACCACCAAGGTTCCGTCGTCCTGGATGAAATTGCGATTGTAATAGCAATTATCTTATTTCTACTATTGCTTCTTTGTACTTCGATTCGCGACATACGGACTTGGTGCTGATGCAAGCCGAGAGACAGGAAGGGCCGACGGGAAGGGGTGGTGCGGGCGGGACGGAGGGTGGTTCGCGAATGGAATTAAATGTTCACGGAATAGCTCGGGAAGGACTGTGACGCAATTTAAGTCGCGCGGTATTTTGCCGGAACGGAACGATGGCTCTTTCAGAGTCCAGCATTACGCGCAATAGTTATAACGCTTTTTTGGTATTGTTGCGCTTCTCGTTTATACTTTTTCATGCGCACTGCTCACGCTTTTAATACGCATTGCATTTGAAAGGTCGGTCGACACTGTGGTAGGAGACTTGCGGTTTTTATTGGTCGCTTAAGGGGGTCGTGTGATGGGAGGAAAAATATCGAGAGAGAAACTAATTATGTCTTTTTAATTATATGTGAGTTTTTACTACTATTTGTATTTAATTTTATATTGTGACAAGAAGATTTTGTAAGTGCGGTATGTTATATTTTTTTATTATATAATACCTCTCTTGTGAAAATTTTAATTATTGATATCATGTTTGTGCTAGATATGTCAATACAGAATTTTATATAGGGAACAGAACTAAAAGAGAAATTTGTAAGGAATTATAGATATCTCGAGGGCGTGATACATCATTATTATATTTTGAGATGCAGTGACAAACTGAGATCGAGGGCAAATCGTCGAACGTAAAAGCAAAAAGCTGCATTGCGACGTCGAACGTCGGAGGTTTGGGGGGATGGGGGGTGGGGGGTGGTCGACAGCGTCGACAACGAGAGATTGACTTGAAGGCTGTACGCCGCGCGGGGGTGGTTCGCGTAGGGATTGTCGGCACGGTGCGGTGTGGTGGATCAGAGTCGGAGAAACGGTCTCAGCTCGCGCTGCTCGGCCTGAAATTCGCCCGAAGTAATCAATATTATAGCTCGCGAAGATATATGCGGGAGGATGTGGGCAAACAGTGTACACACGTGCATTGTTACATGGCTGGGGGTGGTGGACGGTATAAGGAGGGGTTGCCGGGAGAGATGGGGTTTCGTGGGAGGAGGTGATGAAGAAGGGGCTGAAGGGTGCCACGGGGCTCGCAGAGCGGAGCCACGGTTACGCGGAGTTGGCGAGGGGGAGGAAGAGCCTGAACGGAGGAAGGAAAGGGGTGGACAGCCGGACAAACAAAACCCTTGCTGCTTCATTTCTGCCCGTCTGGCCAGACACCGACCCTTTATACGCGCGCGCTTCCGTCCTACGCTCGTCGCCACCCCTGCCCGATGCGTGGTAGACCCATACCACTCGACGTTCCGAGACGAACGGGACTTTCTGCATGGTACTTTTCGAGTTTGTTAATTAACGGCACCGCCGAGTCGAAGAATGCGTCGTAATGGCTCCGAATGGGATTGATAGTCTCAGATGCGGAGTATTGTTCTTGGCGGAATGAATATTTGCGGGCTGACTTGTCGTCGCGCGGTTGTCGTTATGAAAAATATTAGAAACACTCTAGTTGAACTCTTTTAATATTTTATTTAATCTGAATGTATTTCAGTTTAATTTATATTCATATTCCGATTAATTTACTTAATCTTAAAAACTGAGACAGTATACATTTTTTATGACTAAATCCAATATACTTTTAATTATATCTTTCGATATCATTAAAAAAAATATAGTTTTGTAGAAAAAGATATCCATTATGTATAATAAAAATAATTAGTAAAATAATTAAAAAATTATTAAAGAATAAAATTGCACATAAATACATAGATATAATAATAGTAATTAACTTCAACAAATTTCTATATACGTTGACTCGTTAGTCGAAAATGATTGTTAAATTTTTATTTCAGGTCAGTGGTGTATACTTCCCTGGCTTCTGAGACACAGTGACGTGGCTTGTTGATGTGAGTGAGAGTACTTTTCGTAGTTGACGTGCATCTAGTACTAATAGCTTTCGCAACTCATATAGTATGCGTAGAAACTAAAATTTTATTATTCGCCTTATTATTAAACATATATTTAGAATTTAATGGCTTTAGATGACATCTATGTCCTCTTAATAATATAATAATGATTAGACTGTGAATTAATTACGTGAAGATTTGCATACAAGTAGAGAATACTAATTTAATTTAAGCATGACGCTGAGTAATGCAGAAGATAGAACTTTGTTCAAACGAAAATTTTATTTTAATTAAACATTTTGAATCATATTAATGAAAATTTTTATTTTATAGAACAATTCAATTTTTCGAGATTATAAATCATGTAGAAAAACGAAATTCGGATAACTGGATAGTTAAACCGCATCGATTTGGGTATCTAAAACAGAATCAATGGCTTTATTGTCAGTTTTAGATCGATGTCGCGACTAACTTCTGAATATTTAAACAACAAATATTAAAACTTTCATGCGACACAACCCAGAATTCTCGCATCCTTCGTAAACTCGCGATCGGAGATCACCCTTCACATGCGACGACCCTAAAACGTTATGGGTGTTGACGGCGAGCGTTGTCAAAATTTTGGCGTCGTACAACCCTCGATGCATATAAGGAATCACGATTTGGGCAAGTCGAAGGTAAAGAGGATGCCGCGCGAATATTCGGGTGACATAATACTTCTTAAGTCGTAAACCTCCCTTGCTTCTTGACTGAGCGGCATTCCTGAAGTTTCGTATCGGCAGTCGTACAACAAACACGATTATCGATGTCTCGTCCGTCCCCTAAAGCGAAGGGGAGGAGAACGCGCCCTCGGATCCCACGTGCTGCTCCTTTCAACCCTCTCTCTATCTGCGCCGCGTATTTTACGTCGTCGTTTTCCGAAGGATCTTTTTCCCGCCGAGACCTTTAGAATTATCGCTTTCGCGTCGAATCGATGGCGGAATCGCTTTGCAACCAAAATTGTGAATTTATTTAAAGACACTTTGTATTCAACGTATACTAATATAAATTACTAAATTATTAAATACAAAAGTATCTTTTAGATATCTTTTAGATTATCTTTAGATAGATCTATTGACTTGACAATAACAAAAGTTTTTTATTTTCGTTAAGAAAATTATATAAAACTAACGCAATACGTACAATTTGCATTTCTCGAATAATGCTCAAAAGTAAAGATTAATAATATGAATGATCAATACGAGACTTTTTTTCCCCCATTTATTTCGACACATACGTGTTTGTGTGGAAAATGTGATGCATATCAGTTCTGGGGATGCAGGACACGTATTGGCTATGAGGGTACAGTTGCCTTGTTTTCGAATCGCGGTGTCATTGGTTACTTGCTCACGCAGTACATTAGCATTCTAGCTAATTAAAACGTAACTGAAAGTGTAATTGTCTGCATTATCAGTGATATAACACGTAGGCGAACTGAAAGTTAGCCCGTTACGTTGTGCAATACATACTTTTTCTTGCTTGGCCCGTGGATCTGTGAATAAAGGGAAATGACTGTATGTTTTAAAGAAGCAAATATCTTGATAATTTTTCTCCACAAAAGATGTTTCCGCAAAATTAATTTTCGCACGCAAGTCGTTCTTATGTTTTCTCTCTTTTTCTTAATCCGCAAATAATTTAAATAAAAAATATTTTGGATATTTGGGAATGTGTGTGTGTGTGTTTTGGGAATGTCTTGAAACACACATAAATACATATACATATAAAATATACATATGAAATATACATATAAAAAGGGCATCGAGCAGGATATTTTTCAAACAAAATATAAAAATTATGTTTGAAAAATATCCATCTCTTATATAAGTACATCCGAGAATTTTTAATACATTTGACATTTTATTTAATTGTTTTCCAGTGTATGCTGAAAAAAATTGCTAAATAATAATACTGAGAAAAATATTTATGCAGGCGAGATTTAATTATTTATGTGAGCATACGATGTAATTTAGTACGATAGAAACAAGAAAGTGTGAATATTTTTTTAACGTTTACATTTACGTTGACGTATAATATATAATTTAGAGCAAGTATATATTTAACATCTAGTAATAAAAATCAAGAAGTTTTAATAAAGTTTATCTTTACATTTGTTATAATTTATTTTTTCTTTTTTAAGTACTACTTGTCGTAAGGATATATCGTCGTAAGGATAATTTTGCATTTAATTCACGTAATTACAACTAGGTACACTTTAATTCGATGTACGATCAAATAGTTTTACTCGCTCTATTTAATCGAGTAGCCAAGTTAGTTGCCAACATTGAACGCATTCCCGATATTACTAAGATACTAATTATTTGCTGTCGGCCGAGTGGGGGTTGCTTTATCCTCTTGTATATGAATGGATACAGCGCGTTCCTGCCTGCCCGCGTACTAACCGCATAGAGGGTGGTTTCGGATGAACGCTCGGGATATTGCTTGCGTTATTGAGCGTGTTAATTGATATTTCTTTCGTTCGAATTTATTTTTAAAACGCAGAGCGGCTGGAAGCTTTCCCGCCTCCGGGAAATTTGCGTTTTCCTGAAACTGATAATAATATATATCGTCGATATATCATTATACCTTTGTCCTTTGTGTTCTCGCACACTGACGCCAAGTGCTGACGACAATTAACATTTTTACATTATTTATTCACTTTTGTAACTTGCTCCCGCGCGATCACGCGGCTGAAAATAATTCGCGCACCCCGTTTTCCTTTGTACTAATTATAAATAAATATTTCACACAACCGTGAAAAAAACGGCTCGGCCAACGATATTATATAACAATTTTCGCCGACCTCGCTACCTATAATTAACTTCCTTACGTTATGCGTATACGTATTTATTTCAGCAATCGCAATGTGTTTTTTCACATCTTATTTTAATATATTTTCTCTTTTATTAATAAGAGGATCTGTTGCTCAGAACATAGAAAAATATTAACCATTCATTTCGCAATATGCATGTAATATGTTGTATAATACAAAATAAATCTCGTTCCAGTACCATTGGTGAAAGATATTATATTAGTTATTTGATACTGTTGGATGTATGCAATATTGAGGAGAAATTAAAATGAAAAGACGGATCAATAGAAAGTTATTGAGCAAGATTCGAGAGAACGAAATCTAATCGTGATGCACATATACGTTGCTCATTATTTTATTGCCTTATAGCACAAAATTACTTTTATTAGTATCTGTCACTTTTATGACATACATATGTGACATTACTTTATCATATCCTTAAATAAAATTAAAGTTCTGAGTTCCAAATTTATCGTGATCAATACAAATTAGAAGATGTAATAAAATTAATATCTATAGTAACGGATTAATCGATTGTACGGGAGCATTTTAAACGATCAAGATATAACCTGGCTGCCTATGATCAACGTCTGGTTAACAACAAAAAAATGCGAGTAACAGTAATAAATGCTATTATCGGACATTGTGACAATCGTTTGCGAGCACTCCAGTAACGCGAATGTACTGTCCATTTAATTTCTCGGCAAACAATGGGATGATTACGCACCGATTATATTGTGTCAGAGGACAGAGAGATGCGCTGGGAATTCCATGGTCAATCGTTCTATTAACTGCAACAAAAGTAACGAGCAATCTTAATTGTAAATCAAAAGCAAATTTTGCGTCGTTAGGTGCACATGTAACATGTATAATATAAAAGGTAATGTCAATGTCAAGAAATTCCAAGAAGAATTGCATTGTAACTTCAGTAGGACATTAATTACGCCAATTTATTTGTAATAAAATAAAATGTAAAAAATAAATTATATTAATAATAATAAATATTTTCAAAATATTTCTAAGCTTTTAACGTTTTATTACGATAATTTCGTCAATTAAAAGGAATTGGTGGATTTATATATTTTTTTTCCTTTTTGTATAAGTCAATACATTTGTACAGTTGTAAAATTGAGGCGATACTGGATATCTCTGTACAAATTTTTTCCATAAAACGTTAAGAGTCGCGTGCTTTGAGAAAGACAGTGAAGTGAATACGGTGGATTTAGCTGCACGAAATAATGCCATCAATATATAAAAAGACGACCCGCCGCTGCCCGGTAATAGAAACCGATTTGTCAGGGTGCCTTTACATTTCTACGCAGCGAGTTTCGCATCCGATAACCCGTTTTATCCCACGGGAGCCCCGTCCATATCCTCCTACCACCTTACCCATCCCGGCCAACAAGTCGGGGAATCACGAGGGCACCCTCTTTTCGGATCCCGTCGCACGACGTGAGTGCGTGTCCGAGTGCGTCTACGGCCGCTTCCGATTTCATCTTTCTTGCCTAGAAAGTCGAGAGTAGATAGGGAATCTTGTAAAATGGCCCGATGAAAGACAAATATTACCGGGGATCACCGGACGAAAGGCGCGATTTATTTTGCGGGATTCTGCATGGTGACAATCGCGAAGAGATTCCGACGGCTACGAAATATACACGGATTTAGAGCCAGTTACAACATGGTTGAAGTTGAGGCATTGCCGAGCGTAACTATGTCGCCTGATCCTGTCATGATTAACAACTCTCACTGTGAAATAACATTTTATAATACAAATAACATTTGCCTTCCGGTTATGTAATTATTAAAATTCTACATTATTGTTCTACATTAGTTATAGTTTTATTGCATTATTTTGTTTTTGCATATCCCTTATAAAATGTGCAAATCGTACGTAGTATCGTAGATGTAGTACGCTTATCAAACTGATACGAAGTTAATACTTTGAACGAATTTAAGTGCATACAAATAAAATTTCCAAAATCCGGACGAAAAAAATCGTAATACACTCTCGTGAATTCGCGGAGCACAAAGAGCCACCGATTCATTGCAGGGGAATGCGCGCGTATTCAGAAATCGGAGCATATTTTCGTTGCACCCCTAAAAAGAGAACAAAGGATTCTGGTGAAAATACGGGGGGAGAGAAAGAGAGGGA